TTTTGAAAGAATTATCCTACAGTGAAACACTGCGGTACTGTTGGTCTGTAGGTGTTTGTTTGTTTGTTGTTTAACGCTGCACTCAGCAATATTCCAGCTGTATGACGGAGGTCTGTAAATAATCAAGTCTGGACCAGACAATCCAGTGATTTACATCAGCAGCATTGATCTAAGCAATTGGGATACGATGACATGCATCAACCAAGTCACAAGCCTGACCACCCAGTCCCGTAGTCGCCTCTTACGACAAGCATAGTCGCCTTTTACAGCAAGCATGGGTTGCTGAAGACCTATTCTACCCTGCACCTTCACGGGTCCTGTAGGTGTTCACTGGTTGTGTTTGGCTGGGCAGTCCTGCATGAGCTCTCATCCAGATTGATTAAAGCTCAACTGTGAGACAAATTAGGAGACTAGTGATGATGAAACAATACAATTTGTCCCACTCTATCAAATGTCAAGCCTGTGGTTTACTGTGGTCATATTTTATACAAGTTTGCCATAAACAAACATGTTTTATTTTTTGAATTTTTTGTTAGCATCCCTTCATGTTCAATAATGGCTTGGAGGCAGTAAGGGATACTGTTCGAGTTATGTCAAAACCTGAATAAAACCTGATAAGGTCAACATGACATGTTCACCACACTGCATGATTCTGCATTTCCAATTTCCTGCATACCTGACTTCCATGTCACTTAACTTATCCAAACATCCTGCTAGCCACAAGCAGGATCACCCTTATGAGCTTCTAAAGTGCTCTTTGTGATATTGAGAAATTAAAATTCCTCTGAGAGAGGAATTGATGACAATAATATGGAGACGCCCACTCTGATGATTGTATGGATGGAAAGTGCTGTGAAGTACATCATTCCTCTTGGGGGATCCAGACTGCAGCTGCTGGAGGGGGATGTCTGTGCTGGGGCACATTGACCTGGGGACATGGGGGGACTGGCACAGTGTGGGTGGGGCTGCCTGATCTAGGGACGTGGGGGATAAAGGTACAATGGAGAGGTGAGGCGCACTGGGGGTGGGGCATTCTGATCTGGGGACGTGGGGAGGGAGGCAGGGTGGTGGGGCAGTCTGATCTGGGGATGTGGGGAGGGAGGCAGGTGGGTAAGGCAGTTGGATCTGGGGACGTGGGGGAGGGAGGCAGGTTGGGTGGGGCAGTCCGATCTGGGGACGTGGGGACGTGGGGAGGGAGGCAGGGTGGGTAAGGCAGTCGGATCTGGGGACGTGGGGGAAGGAGGCAGGGTGGGTGGGTCAGTCTGATCTGGGGACGTGGGGAGGGAGGCAGGGTGGGTAAGGCAGTTGGATCTGGGGACGTGGGGGATAAAGGTACAATGGAGAGGTGAGGCGCACTGGGGGTGGGTCAGTCTGATCTGGGGACGTGGGGAGGGAGGCAGGTTGAGTGGGGCAGTCGGTTCTGGGGACGTGAGGGAGGGAGGCAGGGTGGGTGGGGCAGTCTGATCTGGGGACGTGGAGGGAAGCAGGGTGGGTGGGGCAGTCTGATCTGGGGACGTGGGGGAGGGAGGCAGGGTGGGTGGGGTAGATGGGGGTGGGACAGTCTGACCTGGAGACACAAGGAGTGGCATGACATAGGGTTGAGGGCAGGTGCAGCCTTGACTCTTTCACATAGCTGGCACACAGCTGGGAACATTGTAGAGAGGGATAAAAGAGGAGTGATTTACTATGCATATACTTTGACTTGCCTTAAATAAAGGATTTGGAAAAGTCGTATTTAACACACTAACACATACACACTCGCACACGCACACCCTAACACCAACACACTGTCATTCATAAACACAGCTGTACAGACTAATGCCGGTCATATAGTGCTAGCCCACTGAGATACCATGCCGCAGTTTAACATGAATACCCCACTCAGACACAGCATACTGACTCCGAGCAAACCAGTCCTTGTTTCAGCCCTTAATGCCGAGAACCAGGCAGGGTAACAACACTTTTGGGTATGACACGGCCAGTGATGAAACCACCGACTTTCAGCTCTCACCGACGACAGACGCTCTGTCCACCAAACCACAGAGTGGGTCCACCCCAGTGTGACCTTGAACACCAGAGAGGAGACAGTTAATGATATCATTACATGTTCTAGCCATGTCATCCCGACTCCAAGCCGACAACACAGCTATTCCTGTGTGTGGACATATCTGCAAGCTGCGATACACGCACAGGGCAGAGTGACCTCCAACAGGACGCAGAGGTCTAGCAGACCAATGGAACCTGGATGTCCTAACCTGATTTCAGTCCCATACTGCCATCAAAATAGATTGACACAGCCTAGTGACTGGTCATGGTGTCGATATCCATATCACATCAACAGTCCATAGGATGTCTGGGTCATTCTGTATAATAAAGTCAAATGGTGTCCCCCAACTAACACATGTCATACTCAAATTGTTTTATTGGTTTCAATTACACTGAAGTTTTGAAAATATAAACTGAATATATTCAAAAACAATTTTTTTTTTTACAGGTACATATTGTTCATGATAGTTGAAATATGCACGGCAGTGTCATTTCTCATCATTTTAGATGCTTACAATTGATGGATAAAGGTTACCGGAAATAAAGGATTATTTATTTGGCCCAACAAGATAACACTGCCAGGTAACACAGCCTACATCCTGGCTTCTCCATGTGCAGCCTGTGAATGGTCACGAGTGAGTGAGTATGGTTTTACGCCACTTTCAGCAATATTCCAGCAATACGACAGTGTGGGACACCAGAAATTGGCTTCACACGTTGTAACCATTGAGGAATCTGACCCAGGTTAATTATCAGCGTGACGAGCAAACACTCCAGCCATCATGCTATCACACTGCCAAGATCTGTCACAATGCTAATTCAATGGTAGCTGTTTACCAAAAACAGTCCTGGCCCAAAATCTCACTCCCTGATCAACTCAAAGGGACCACAAATGGTAGTTCGTTATAATCGTAGTTTGTTATATCCGCCAGTTTGTTATAAACGTGTTTGTTATGAACATATTTTTCTGTACTTCTAAAAAAACATTTAAGGACCACACGGCTCTTTCATATCCCCATTATAATCTGTGACAAAATGACAAATTTACTACAGTAACATGTAAGAATTTGGCAGACCAAAATGTTGTTTCTGTAGGATATGTCCAGCGCATCTCAACTGAATAAGATGTAAAACTTAATGCTAAGATTTTATATAGATCCATTGTAACTGTCAATATGCTTGCCTTGATTGGCGAAATCACTGTTACACCAATGAAGTTATTAAAATCACAAGTACAATCTAACCACAATCTAGTCCCACCATAACACTACACAGTCCTACTGCACTGAGCGTCGTGTGAATGTTTCATCATGATTTTGAAACAAACAGAAGTATCTTAAATCATGTTTACTGCTCCAAAACCCCGAAGATGTATCTATAAGTTTTCCTTCCGACCTTTCCAATAAACCTTTCTGATTTTACACTTCAAGTAAAAAACTAGAGCTCTAATCATCATATTCTTAGTTTGAAAATGAACACTTTTGTACACACAAGAAGAAATCCACAACAGATCATGTTTGCACTTCCATGGCGGGTTGGTGCACATTTTCATAGCATTTATGCAATGATTTTGAGGATGTCAAACCCTTGAGGATGTCAAACATTGGCACAAGTAAGATTTAAAGGGGAGGGGGTATGCACCACAACAAAACACAAGTTTCTTTATCTGACAAGACTGTTCCCTTAGAATCTAGCCCTATGTTAAATAAAATAACAATGGACTTGTTACAGATGTGATAAAATGTCAGAGTTGCAAGTCAGATTACCAGAAACACAAATATTGTTTTCACTTTCGACCTGAGTGACAAACCACATTTAACACATGTATAAGGTGCCCTGTGTGACTGAGCACTGAACACGGCTATTGGCAGATTTTACGACTGCTTCAACACAAGGCTGGTTTGGCAGGAAAGGAAGGGCAACCCATACTTTGAATGCTGGATCAAAAATTGGTTGCCCATAGTCGTGATTATTGCATAGACGCTTTGCGTAACTTATCTAATCAGGTCTAAAATGTGAAATTGTTGCTGCTTGTGACATAACAGTTGTCTATATGACACGACACAAACAGACAATCGTGAACGTTGTGATAAAGGCTGATGGGCAATTAAGTAAACAGCAGACAGGTCACAAAACAGGAGAGGCTTGGTCACATGACGAGGTCACATGACGAGGTTAATGCCGATACTTGTTTGTCCTCTCTGAGGGGATTTCCCAGGTTCAATTCTGTTTCAATGCATGCAGTATAAGGGTAGCACTTCATTTCGTGGCAACCTGTTGTGTTTCGTGTCCACACCTTGTAGCCCTGTCTAATTTAAAGTGACACCTTGTATCCTGGTGATTTCTGTTCGGATCAACTCTATGATATTGAAGAGCCATCAATAATAATCCTGATATTTGTTGATCGAAACGAACCATCAGGACACTACCATCCATATTAATGGTAAAACTGCAACTAAATCCCAGTGACAGTCCCAATCATACTGATGATAATGTTCCCTTTCCAAAGGCTATCTGAGTGTTGTGATTCCTGTTAGCGTATTCGACGTAATAAGCGCCCTGCTATAGTTAGCGCCCACGGCGATATTTGTTGATATATTGGCTAGTGAACATTCTCAATTAACACCCTTTCCAATTGATTAATGTACACAAGACTTATTTATTTGTGTATAATACACACTCGTATGTTATATGCACCCTTAATTATGGGCAATTAAATTCTGGAAAAATATATCTCTCGTATATAAACATTTCAGGCTGTCAGCATAAACCACAAAATTTACGATCTTTCAACTCAAAATAATATTCTAATAAGAGCCCCCTATTTCTAATTTTGAGAGCGCCCTGGGCGCTTATTACATCGAATACGGTAATCTATGTAAAGTACAGAAGCGGTGTGAAGGTTCCAGGGTGGTCAGATCAGTAGCCAGAGTTCCCCTGGCAGGGTTTCCTACCTCGGACTGTTTGACGGCGGTGGGCTGGATGGGTTCTGCCGTGACCATGTCCCCGATGTCTGGCGTGGTCGGGGTGGCCTCGAACTCATCCACGACGACGGAGGAGGATGGTGACACAACTTCCTCGACGGTGATGTTGGAGTGGGGGAGGACTTGGAAGAAGCACATCAGGTAGGTCATGATGGACTTCTTGTCAGGGTGGCTCACATCCACATCTGAAACATCAGGTCGTGACTGCAGGTTCGTGGGGTGTACTGATGGGGTGTATGGATGCAGTGAACTGATGGGGGTATTACTGGTGGGGTGTACTGGTGGGGTGTACTGGTGGGGTGTACTGATGGGGTGTACTGATGGGGTATACTTGTAGGGTGTATTGATGGGGTGTACTGGTGGGGTGCACTGATGGGGTATACTTGTAGGGTGTATTGATGGGGTGTACTTATGGGGTATACTTGTAGGGTGTATTGATGGGGTGTACTGGTGGGGTGCACTGATGGGGTATACTTGTAGGGTGTATTGATGGGGTGTACTGATGGGGTATACTTGTAGGGTGTATTGATGGGGTGTACCGGTGGGGTGTACTGATGGGGTATACTTGTAGGGTGTATCGGTGGGGTGTACTGGTGGGGTGTACTGGTGGGGTGTACCGGTGGGGTGTACTGGTGGGGTGTACTGATGGGGTGTTCTGGTGGGGTGTACTGGTGGGGTGTACTGGTGGGGTGTACTGGTGGGGTGTATTGATAGGGTATTACTGGTGGGGTGTACTGATGGGGTGTACTGGGAAGGTGTACCGGAGGGGTGTACTGATGGGATGTACTGATGGGTTGTACTGATGGGGTGTACTGATGGGGTGTACTGGTGGGGTGCACTGGTGGGGTGTACTGATGGGTTGTACTGGTGGGGTGCACTGATGGGGTGTACTGGTGGGTGTACTGATGGGGTGTCCTGGTGGGGTGTACTAGTGGGGTCTACTTGTAGGGTGTATTGATGGAGTGTACTGGTGGGGTGTACTGATGGGATGTACTGATGGGGTGTACTGATGGGTTGTACTGGTGGGGTGTACTGATGGGGTGTACTGATGGGGTGTACTGGTGGGGTGCACTGATGGGGTGTACTGGTGGGTGTACTGATGGGGTGTCCTGGTGGGGTGTACTAGTGGGGTCTACTTGTAGGGTGTATTGATGGGGTGTACTGGTGGGGTGTACTGATGGGATGTACTGATGGGTTGTACTGGTGGGGTGTACTGATGGGTGTACTGATGGGGTGTACTGATGGGGTGTAGTGGTGGGGTGAATTGATGGGTGTACTGATGGGGTGTACTGGTGGAGTGTATTGATGGGGGTGTACTGATGGGGTGTAGTGGTGGGGCGTACTGATGGGATGTACTGGTGGGGTGTATTGATAGGTGTACTGATGGGATGTACTGGTGGGGTGTATTGATAGGTGTACTGATGGGGTGTACTTGTGGGGTGTATTGATGGAGCATACTGATGGGGTTGTTCTATTGGAGCTAACTATACATTGATTGAGGACAGATATCAATACACGTCAATAGTTGACATTGATACCACACCTGACTCGCAAACATCCTTAGTAAATGAGTGAATGTTGTTAAACACTGCACTCAGCAATATTTTAGCTACATGAGAGCATCTGGTAACTCACTGAGTCTGGCCAGGGACAACATTGGTTGACAGCAAGAGCAACGACCCACATCAGTGAGGTGTGATTTGACACACTATCAGTCAATCTTTATATTAGTCGGCTCTTACAGTTTGTTTGTTTGTTGTTTAACACCACACTCAGCAATATTCCAGCTATATGACGGTGGTCTGTGAATAATCGAGTCAATCCAGAGATTGACATCAGGAGCATCGATCCACGTAACTGGGATACGATGACAAGCATCAACCAAGTCAGCGAGCCTGACCACCCGATCCCGTTAGTCGCCTCTTACAACAAGCATAGTCGCCTTTAACGGCAAGCATGGGTTAATTGCTGAAGACCTATTCTATCCCGGATCTTCACGGGTCTGTCGGCTCTTACAACAATCAGGTGTCTGGTGACCTACTCTGAATGACCTTTCCTACTCAGAATCCTTACAGAGTTAATAAATTATTTTTAATGAAAATTAGTGTTTTCTCTAAAACGAGTGTATTTCTCCCCTGTAGCCCAACTCACCTTCTGCGTCCAGCAAGCTGTCGATGGCGAGATGGTCCTGAGCAGTGCGAAACGCATGCTCCAAGTTAGCTTGGTTACCATTGGTCAGCAGGTCTTCGTACTTAAACAACTCAGGCCTGAAACAAACACAGACACAAATTTAGTGAGCTCAGCTAACAACAGTCCATCTGGTCACACTACAATGTACAAAAGAAATGTCAAATATTTTACATAGACTGCAGACATACTTGCACAAAACACAATACTGCTAACCTAAACACAAAAACAAAATGGAAGAAATCCTAAAATCCTAAAATACATTTACAGTGACATGAAACATTAAAACAACAGTGTTTAGTGGATAAATCATTGGTGGATCCAGAGGGAGGTCCAGGGGATCCGGATTCTGCCCTTTCGAAAACCAAATGATAATACTATGTATCACACTACACCGTGGACCGATCCAAAAATACACTTACAGTGACATGAAACATTAAAACAACTGAGTTCAGTGGACACTTCATGGGCGGATCCAGAGGGGTTTGGATCCTACCCACCCTGACCCCCTTTGAAAACCAAATGCAGCATGTTGTAGGTTAATTATCTGAAGGAGGATTTTGGTATTTTCGACCACTCAATTTTAAAAATGGAACCGCTCTTCCACTTTCTTGATCTATCCTACCTGAATCTGTGTATGAGGGCATTGAAGGCGAGGCCAGTCCTCCAACTGGAGGTGAAGTTGTTGATGCTGACGTTCTTGTAGCTGAAACACAACACATCCACATCCTGTACAAAACCTCAACATCTCTGTGGTGCATATAAATGAAAAGATACTGGGGTTTTTTTCAGGGACAGATTAGGATTTTCTGGACATCAACATCACTGTGGTGCATATAAATGAAAAGATACTGGGGGGTTTTCAGGGACAAATTAGGATTTTCTGGACATCAACATCACTGGTGCATATAAATGAAAAGATACTGGGGGGTTTTCAGGGACAGATTAGGATTTTCAGAACATCAACATCACTGTGGTGCATATAAATTGAGAACTTGTTTCTTTCATCATAGGGATAGAAAAGGATTTTCAGGAATGTCCCACTGAATGACATAAGAAAGACGAGTGGAGTGACGCACCCACTGGTACACTGTCTGCACCAGGCCAGCAGAGTCTTCTCCAGGTTGGTCTGACGCAGGTCCTCCATCACGTGTTTCATGACGTCCTTCACCTGAAGACCATCAAGAGTCAAACATTCAGTGTTGATGATAGAGTCAAACATTCAGTGTCAATGATACATCAAACGGTCAAACATTCAGTGTGGCTGATAGCGTCAAACAGTTAGTGTTGATGATAGAGTCAAACAGTCAATGCTACATCAAACGGTCAAACATTCAGTGTGGCTGATAGCGTCAAACAGTCAGTGTTGATGATAGAGTAAAACGGTCAAACAGTCAATGTCAATGATACATCAAACGGTCAAACATTCAGTGTGGCTGATAGCGTCAAACAGTCAGTGTGGATGATTTTGAGAGTCAAACTGTCAAACATTCAGTGTTAGCCAATATTGTGTTCCTCAATCTGATTGGTCAGCCTTTCTTGTCGATTATCATCTGATTCCCTCAAGTCCACACAAGCCCCTTCACTGCGTATGAATAAATAAATAGAACTATTTTTCAAGACAAGACAAAATGTCTGAAGATCATATTCTCCAGCTGAATTTGGGAAACTTTGAGGACGTTTTCAGTTTTGACACGGATGATGCCATACTGAAAGAACTCCTGAATGACGGCAAATGTTGAATGATGATTGACGCCTCTATCAAGTCTATGTTTAAATTAGGAGAAAAAACACTCATTTCATGAATACTAGGAGCTAACAGCGTTAATCGGTGAACATACTGTTAAAAAATACATACATTTGCTGATATAAATATAATTTCTTCAATTCCCTAGTGTAACTGCCCAAGGTTGTCAGTTTTAAATGTAGTTGCAGTCATTGAATGCCAGTACTAATGGGAAAAAGTAACATCATAACTTTTAATCAAAGTAGTCTGTGGCTAAGAGTCATACATTAAGTGTTCTGCAGAGTCAAATACCATCAAACATTCAGTAATTCTAAAGCTTCTATAGTCAAACATACAATCTCCATTGACGAGACGTTCAGGAAACATGTCATTCATACATGCAGGAAGGGATAAAAGTGAGACTTGTCAGCACTGTTCTAAGGGGAGTAACTCTGCTTGTCCTAAAGAAAAGAGCTGATGTGGAGAACTTCTGTTGAAAAAATCCAATTTCCATCATTAACATTTTAATACAGGCCTCAAGAATAATTATCAACCTATTCTACCCCAGGTCATCACGGGGGAGACAAGCATGGGTTGTTGAAGACCTATTCTACCCCAGGTCTTCATGGGGGAAACAAGCATGGGTTGCTGAAGACCTATTCTACCCCAGATCTTGACGGGGGAGACAAACATGGGTTGCTGAAGACCTATTCTACCCCAGATCTTGACGGGGGAGACAAGCATGGGTTGTTGAAGACCTATTCTACCCCAGATCTTCACGGTGGAGACAAGCATGGTTGCTGAAGACCTATTCTACCCCAGATCTTCACGGGGAGACAAGCATGGGTTGCTGAAGACCTATTCTACCCCAGATCTTCACCGGGGAGACAAGCACGGGTTGCTGAAGACCTATTCTACCCCAGATCTTCATGGTGGAGACAAGCATGGTTGCTGAAGACCTATTCTACCCCAGATCTTCACGGGGAGACAAGCACGGGTTGCTGAAGACCTATTCTAACCCAGATCTTCACGAGGAAGAAAAGCATGGGTTGCTGAAGACCTATTCTACCCCAGATCTTCACGAGGAAGACAAGCATGGGTTGCTGAAGACCTATTCTAACCCAGATCTTCACGAGGAAGACAAGCACGGGTTGCTGAAGACAAGCCTACTCACCTGCCAATGGAGGATGATGCTCCACACCAGTCCCAGGGTCAGCTTGGCGTTGCCATCTACTATGTCATTGCTGCTGATATTTACAAGTTTTATCTGAAACAGACAACAAATAAACATTGACAGTTCAAACAAAAAATATTCCAAATACCTCAAACATCTCGTTCTTCTGCTCATTTTATTAAAAACTAACACATATGTGAAGAATCTCTACAAAAAACAACACAAACGAAGAAGCACATTTCAAATTTTTAACTTCACGTAATATCTCCGGAATTCGGAGACAGGCAAACACTGAAGGCTTGAAAGTGACATGTGGCAGTGTGTTGCTGAAGAAAAACTCCCCCCAGACAGCAGGCCAAATACACATGCCTGGCAAGACAACTGAAGGCCCATCTTGAAATAAACAACACAAAAACACAGGAAGGGGACCAGCATCTGGTGTGATGTTCATCACTTCTTGTTTTGCAAAACTTTCAAAAGTATTTACTCCCCAGTAAACAGACACAAAGCACCCAAAAAGGAGCATAAACTAACAAAATTATTATTCACAAACGATATTTCTAAAGATAAACACTCGAAACCTGAAGGAATCACAAAATTGAAAACACACATAAAAAGCCCAGCGCAAGGGTGAAACCATTAAATTATGTGTTACCCTGACAACCACCATGCAAATTACTTCTCTAATGTTCAAGTAGCACTCCATCATGTTAAGTTAATCACAGTTCAACTTTACAGCAAGAAACAGTCCTGGCTGCATGAAGATCCCCATCCCCATATATATACTGTAATAGATTTCAAGTTCAGAGACTAATAGTGTTTTACATATAATTATACTGAAATCAGAGCAGACTGGCCTAATGGAGTCTTTCAGTGCATGCACTTTACATATTGTTTTACATAATAATATAGATATGCTAATACACCTGCATCAGTGAGGATCAGGACAAATATACATCAATGTGACCTCACAACTAGTTCTCCATAGGGCTTTGTTGATCGACAGCACTTGTAGCCTACCAGGGACTTATCCAGGATTCCATACTAAGAGCCCTTGATAGGCAACTTGGTAAAATATTGTGACATTGTTCAAAATAGGACTTTTATACTGTTCATAATTTTGTAAATTCAGAAAAATTGAGAAATGTAAAATTCAAATTAGGAATTTTTACTGTCATCTGTACTGCTTTGGGCATACGAGATGTGCAGATAAATTCCTGTGTACAACCATGGTAAACAAAGGATAAATACACAAATGCAAATAAGTTTTCACATTTTATGATATTTTCTCATTAATAGTTGACCATTTTATGACATGTTTATCAAAATGTGGAGACTTTTCAAAATTAAAGCGTCCCCAGGGAGGTCGAGCACTGTTGGAACTAGTTGTCTGGCCATCATCATCGTGAAACTGTGACAAATATACTTCTGATGTGCAAAGACGTCTCAGTCCACTCAATCATTCGTTGGAAATGGCTGTCTGCTTTACTTATGCATGGGCCTCACTGTACTGTGAAGTAATGTATATATAGTGTATCAGGTGCCTACAGCTATGGCTGGAATTGTACCATGTGTTTACAGTATATTCTGACGTATTTGACATAATAAGCGCCCCGCTCTAATAAGCGCCCACGGCGATATTTGCTAATATATTGGCTAGTGAACAATCCCAATTAGCACCCCTTCAGATTGATCAATGTACACAAGACTTATTTATTCGCGTATAATACACACTCGTGTGTTATATGCACCCTTAATTATGGGCAGTTAAATTCTTGAAAAATATATCTCTCGTATATAAACATTTCAGGCTGTCAGCATAAACCACGAAATTTATCTTTCAACTATTTTTCGACCAAAATAATATTCTAATAAGAGCCCACTATTTCTAATTTTGAGAGTGCCCTGGGCGCTTATTACGTCGAATACGGTATATCTGACTGAGTCTTGGGATGTGCTACTCTGTCACTTCCTATCTTGGGAAAGCGTGTTTTGTTGGGAGGTGGGCAGCAATCTGATAAATGAACGTCTGCGGAAAGCTCGGAATATATATCCTGTCCGAAAATACACCTGCATTCGTGCTCAAGGATGGATAACATTATCAATATTCCTATTCGTTCAATCATTGTAGCACATCTGTTGCACAGTGTTTACTCAAAAGAAAAATTCTTTTGGCAAAAAACTTCACAAGTATAGTGTGCTAACTGCTCACATGGTAAAACTGATTCCAGCAATTATAAAATTGTACTTTAAAAAACAAAATTATTAGGTTTAACAAAATAAAAGAATTGATTCTCAGGCAATGTTTTTTGAGTGAGTGAGTGAGTGAGTGAGTGAGTGAGTGAGTGAGTGAGTGAGTGAGTGAGTGAGTGAGTGAGTGAGTGAGTGAGTGAGTGAGTGAGTGAGTGAGTGAGTGAGTGAGTGAGTGAGTGAGTGAGTATGGTTTTATGCCGTTTTTAGCAATATTCCAGCAATATCATGGCGGGGGACACCAGAAATGGTTTTTGAAAATATAGTGTAGGTTGGAGGTGTCTTTTTTCCTTTTTTGGTTGTTCAAACTAGTATGTATTATGTAACCAAATAAGCAATTGTGTACAATCAACCTGAGAAAGGGCCTCCCTACATAAATGCATATCTTGATGAGTAAAATACTGGAATACAGTATTTGACTACCATTTTATTTGGAATATTTAAGGATTTTAAAAAAATAAAAATTAAATGTTATATTTATTTGTGCTACCGTTGCCATGCCTACAACATAAACTACCATTAATTTACAGTACTTCTGCTATTAAATCTTGACAGCAACAGCAATATGAATTCACAACAGAACATTATAACCTTTTATAAATACAACAGTTCATTTGACATACTGTGTACTTGAACGAATCAGATTAAAATACAACAGACATGTACCCCTAAACTGTGTACCCGTGAAGATTCTGGGGTAGAATAGGTCTTCAGCAACCCATGCTTGCCGTAAATGGTGACTATGCTTGTCGTAAAAGGCGACTAACGGGATCGGGTGGTCAGGCTCACTGACTTGGTTGACGCATGTCATCGATCCCAAATGCGTGGATTGATGCTCATGATGTCAATCACTGGATTGTCTGGTCCAGACTTGATTATTTACAGACCGCCGTCATATAGCTGGAATATTGCTGTGTGCGGCGTTAAACAACAAACCAACCAACCAACCTAAACTGTGGCAAAGCTTGTGCAACACCAACCAAACAAGCACACTAATTCTGCATGTGTAACTTTCACAAAACCTTTGATGAAGTATTCACAAGCCATTCATCCTCTCAAGCAAGTTGAGGCTACGGAGATTTGATAAAGAACACACAATGACAGCTCTGCCCCTTTTTCTCCTCTCAATAATTCAAGAGTCTTGCACCCTCTGCTGTAGCCTTCCACCAAGGCTGTACTGAAAGAAAAACATGGTTGTATAGCAATTCTATCCTCCTAATAGGCAAGTCTAGATATGTGACAGTCTGAGGACTCCTGTCTCTAAAAGGGACATTTTGTTCTTAATATTAACATCACCTGGAACTTATGATTTAAACAGATGATTATTGCCTTAGAGACTTATTCTGTAGTACAGATCACATGGTTCACTTTCCCAAGACCGGAGACCCACTGGAGCACACCTGTCTGCGATACATCCTCACAGACTGATCCCCATACCAGCAGAGTGAGTGAGTGAGTGAGTGAGTAAATGTGTCAGGTTTAATTCCCCTTTGAACAGTTTTCCTGTCATATCACTAGTCAGCTTGACGTAGGAAGTAATGACGAGGAAACTCCAGTCACAGGCATTCAACACTTCAGTGAAACCTTGATCAGTGGCCATCTGAGATTCAAACCCATGACCAGCGGGTTCTACCACAGCACAGGAACTCATTGACTTGCACAAGTCTCTAAGGCAATAATTGTTAGTTTAAATCATAATTTCTAGATGATGTAAATAATAAGAACAAGTTGTCCCGATAAGAGACTTGAGTCCTTTGACTGTCCACATATCTAGACTTGCCTATTAGGAGGATAGAATTACTACACATCCATGGACTTTTCTTTCAGTACAGCCTTGGAGCAAGGCTAAGGAACTCAATGCACAGATGTAGATGTGCTACATTAGACCACTCGGCATCCATACTCACTTATTTCAGCTCAAACTCTTATTTGGTTTGTAGAATTCTAAAACCTATTTTACACATATTCACTGGAGGCAAATAGTTCCTCAAGGTTATTGCTCTCTGCAAGAAGTATCCATGTGAATGGTCTTGTCGTTGTTTGAAAGGTCATCAGGGAATTGTGTCCTTCATCTTCTGTGTGTTACATGTGTTATGGAAACTAAACTTGTTTGATATTCTGACCTTCACAGCTTCACAGCAAACTGAATTGTTATTTGATGAGAAACATGACAAAAAGAAGTTTTGTTTTCTTAAAAATTATGAAAGAACCAAACGATGATATAAACATGAAATTAGCCACATGAAGATCATAAAACATCTGCATCTCTTGAGACCCCATCAAAAGGATGTCAGGGGGTTAAGACATGGTGAGGTGAGGTGAAATGGGGTTTAACGTCGCGTCCAAGGTTATTGCATTTATATAGCGACGTGCATGCATGTGTATGTGTGGATGCTTGTACTAGTCCGGACTGATGCCGATTTATAGTGCTAGCACACTGAGATACCATGCCGCAGTTTAACATGAATACCACACTCAGACACAGTATACTGACTCCGAGCTGACCAGTCCTTGTTTTAGCCCCTTAATGCCGAGCGCCTGACAGGGTAACAACTAGAGGTGTAACGATACGGGAGGGTCGCGATACGATACGTATCCCGATACAGGGGTCACGATACGATACATATCACGATACAGTGTTTACTGGTACAAGCTAAGCAAAGTTGCTGTCTTTCTGCTATCTAAAAGATGTGACAAGTACAGTTGAAGAAGATATAAGGTGTTTATTTACTGTTATAGCAAATTGTCAGCAATACAGTATGTTTTACTGAAACAACAAACTGGCTTTGAAACTGTTAAAGTATTTCATGGGCGCACACCCCTTTTTATTTCGAAAAAAATCT